CACAAGATAGTATTTTCTACCTTATTCCTATAGTCTTCAAAGCACCTACTTACTGTCACTGTACTCCAGATGACCCTATGGGACCCAGCAATGATAAAGACCAGACTGGGTGTAGCACATGTAGAATCCAGAAGTATGGTCTAAGAGCCAGTTTCTAGCCCAGGACACTGTGCTTCATGGACATCCCTGATTTCTGTGGACAGAATGTTGGGCTCTTGGCAAGAGATGTAGGGATTCAGGCTTCCATCTGCTGTGTGGTGAATTGGTTTATACTTTTGTGGTTTCTCAGTTTTCTTGCCATTTAAAAAGCGGTTCTGATTGAGGAGTGGGAAATTAGACAACTCAAGAAACAGGGAACAGTCATCATGCTTTATTAAAAATGTATGCATCATGACTCATATCTGCAGTATCATAAGCATGTTCCCTGGCAGCAGGGGAAGCAAAGGCAATTTGCTAACTGCCGTTATCTTGCTATTCTTTTTACCCAGTGTTTGCTTTTTCTGGAACCTATACTCTACTCTTCATGGCTCGAACCCTTCAAGGCATTGGATCTTCTTTTTCATCTGTTGCAGGTAACACTGACAACTTCATTAAGCACACACACATGCACACACACACATACAAACATCTGTTACTACCTCAGACCCTATATTTATATGAAGAAATTAAAGAAAACATCATCTGTATAGGTAGACATTGTGATTCAGAAATAAGGGAATTGGTCTGGGCACAGTAGCTCATACCTGTAATCCCTGCACTTTGGGAGGCCAAGGCAGGAGGATAGCTTGACTCTAGGAGTTTAAAGGCAGCCTGGGCAACATAGTGAGAGCCTGATCTCTATACAAAATAAAAATAAGTTAGCCAGGCATGGTGGTGTGCACCTGTGGTCCCAGCCACCTGGGAGGCTAAAGTGGGAGCATGGCTCAAGCCTGGGCGGTTGAGGCTGCAGTGAGCCATGATGGTGCTACTCCACCTCAGCCTGGGTGACAGAGGTAGACTTACTTAAAAAAAAAAAAAAGAGAGAGAGAGAGAGAAAAAAAAAAGAAACAAAGGAATTGTAAAATTGCTGACAGGGTCCATAGAACCCTGAGCCTGACGTAAATTCCTGTTCTAAGATTTCGATGCAGGTAGCTCAGGTCAGAACAAGCCTACAGTAAACCATGAAGGCCAGGCTTTTATTTAGTGCCATTCAAGGGTCCTTTTTCTGTCCTCCTCTTAGTACTTTATAGGAATAATCATGTTAATACTACTGGTAATACCAGCACAGTTTTCAAAGTATAGCCGAATACAATATCTAATGCAATCCTATAAGGTTGGTATTTTATGCCATTTTACCATGACTACGAAGGCCTGAGAGTCCAGCTGCTGTGCAGCACCAGCTCACCCTCTCTTCCAGGTCTCCAGTGCTTTCTTGCTCTTCCCTGGGCACCCCCATTAGATAGAACAGTCTGTCTTCCTAGGGTTTCCTTTCCCTGACCTGCTCTGTAACCCCTCATTCAGGGAAATGTGCTAGGAAATGAGAAAAGGCTGTGAAACATGGTATAATCAGATAATGGATTTTCTGTGTTATCCTTCCCAAAGGACTTGCACTTTCAACAGCATCTTAAACAGCAGTGAACAATGTGGGGTTTTGGAAGACTAGGAAGCGAAGTACTTAAAAAATACTATGGGTTAAGTTTTGTAAAACCCCTGGAACTGAAACTCTAGCTAAGATTGTCACTGAAGAGGTAACAGGGTAGGACCAAGGGCTCTGGGAGGCAGACAGAACCCCCAGGGGTCAGCTGCATCTGTCACTCTCTGTGCAGGTCTTGGGATGCTGGCCAGTGTCTACACCGACGACTATGAGAGAGGACGGGCCATGGGAATCGCGCTGGGGGGCCTGGCCCTGGGGGTACTGGGTAAGTGGCACCCGCAGGAGGGTGGGACTCTAGGAAGTAGGTGTTCCCGAGGTGTGGAAGACAAGTATTTTCCTTCCCTCATTGGCCCTATCCTATTTCGACTCCTTCAGAAATATCCCTGAGAAAAGGTGAAATTTCCTTCTCTGTAAGAAGCTGGGAACACATAAGGGCCGGGGAAAGGTCCAGAAGCCCAGTCTGCTGGAGGAAGTGAGCATCCTGGTGTTAGAGGCCACTGTCTTGCCTTCGCTCCCACGCACACACTGCCAGAGCCTGGCCATTGTCAGATGCTCTGCTAAAGCTAGTACAAGCATAATCTCTTTTATTCCTCACCACCATGAATAAAAGGAGAATGAATGTCCCCATTATAGAGATGAAAATAAGAATGGTGAAATAGCCATCCAAAGTCACACAACCAGGACACGCAGGAGCCAGGATACAGACTCAGATTTTCTGGCCTCAGAAAGAAGCTCCAAACCATAAAGTTACCCTTTCTTTGAGGCTCATCCCTCATACTATTTAACTGACAAGCTGCATACTTTCACATACTACACACCAAACACAATGCCAGCATAGTAGGGTGGGAAGCACCAGGCATATTCCTGCCCTCCAGGAACTTACAAGCTCATTGAAAACACCTGAAATCTCTTCCCTGGCCTATGCCCCACCCTCAAGCCCCATGGGGAGCAGAGGAAATAGAATCCCTATTATTTGTTAGTATCCATCAACCCAAATGGCCAGTCTAAAACTGGTGCATTTTGGACTCCTTTATCATGTCCCAAATGAATAAGCTCCCAAAGGAACAAGCTTGTTAGATCCTCGACAGTCACTGCGGGCTCCTTGTCACTTCTAGGTTAGAATTTGGCAGCAGCTTCCCTCTTTTATGTTCCCTCCTTCCACCATGATGCTGCCTGAAGAATCTTCCTGAGCCCAGAGCAGGTGGTGTTTCTCCCTTGGTATTTCTCCATAGGCTGCAAGGCCAAGTAGATGACTCGTCTGCGTATAGAAGGCTCCTGCCGATGCAAGGCTCTACTTTTCTCCTCTCAAATACTCATAGTCTGGTAACACTCACTTTCTTCTTTTTCTTCTCCAACAACATACTTTTTTCTGACACCTCTGTGTTCTTCACACAAGCTGCTTCCCTTCCAGGTAGTCTGCACTTGGCAAAGCCCTCGTGGCTGCCTGAATTCCTGAGACATCTACTGAGCTTTCATTGCATGCAATATTTTACTGTCAAATTTTCACCATGCTTTAATTATTTGGGTCCCTCCCTACACACACACACACACACACACACACTTCCTCCACTGAGAACAGGGGTCATGTCTCCATCTCTGAATTCCCAAAACCTCAGGTGGATCTTAGCCCCTATTAGGCGTTCTACAAATGCTCATGGGGTAAATGTGGATAATTCTCACTGGATGGGACTCACCCTCACCTCTGGAATCTGTATCTGCTTTGCCTTTCCAGTAGGAGCACCCTTTGGAAGTGTAATGTATGAGTTTGTTGGGAAGTCTGCGCCGTTCCTCATCCTGGCCTTCCTGGCACTACTGGATGGAGGTGAGTTACCATCAGAGCCTCCAGCAGCTGATAGCCCAGGTCAGGTTGGGAATGCATTATGCTGTGGTGTCTGTCTTGAGTAAGAATGGGTGGCGTGGACATGTTTTGATGGATCAAGGGCTGCCCCATTGCAGAAAAGAGATAAGCTCAGGAAGTTAAATTTATGCGTAACAGTTTGATAGCACTATAGCTGTTACTGGAGCCCCCAGCTAATCGGTAGACACACTGAACTGTCTCACCTTCTTTCTTTCTTAGCACTCCAGCTTTGCATCCTACAGCCTTCTAAAGTCTCTCCTGAGGTAAGCAGACACAAAGCTCCATTGCTAACATATACAGGATGGGTGAACACAGGAGCCCAGGCATGCCTGCCAAGCCATCAGAAGAAAAGCGAAGAGGACAGAGTCAGGGAAAGTGAGAACTGTGTCTGAATTCTAGGACCCATTTCAGGGAGTATGGGGGATAGTGAGGTATTTGGCTTGATGTTAGAGAAAGATGGTTGAAGAGTCTTGTGAAGAATCAAAGCAGCTATGCAGAATATGTATATATATATATATATATATATATATATATATATATAAAATATATGGAGATCTCCAGATACATATGGATAATTATATATGTGTTTGTATATATATTTGGGTACCTCCAGATGTATATGAATATATACATATATGGCATGAACCGTCACCCATTCTTTCTCTTTCTAGCAAACAAACATTATTATTATTACTAATTTTTTGAGTCAGTTGACAGTAAATTGATTATATCATTCCCTTACCACTTGATACTTTAGTGAGTTTTCCCTAAGAACAGGATTATTTCCTTATGTAATGACAATAGAGCTATCAAATGCAGGCAATTTAACATTGATGCAATACTTTCATTTGCAGTAGTGCCTACTCTGATTGTGTCAATTATCCCAATAATGTCTTTCATGGGAGCTTTTTGTTTTTAGTCTCTAGTGCAGGGCCTGGTCCAGGATTGCATAATACATTCATGCGTCACATCTCTCTAGTCTCTTTTAATCTGGAAAAGTTCTCAGCCTTTATCTTGCATGACATTGACATTTATGAAGACCACAATTATCTATAGGGTATTCCTAAATTTGGTTTGTCTGATGCTTCCTCTTCATACTGTGGCCTTCTGAGTGTCACGTCTGGTGGTATGTAATGCCTGTTCACCTCTCAGTGGTGATGTCCATTTTGATCAATGGGCCAAGGTGTTGCCCGGGTCTCTTGTGTAGTTATTATTTTTCACCTTGTAACTAATAAATAATCTGTGGGAGACACTGTAAAATCATATAAATCTCCTACTCCTCCTTGAACTTCCTCTCTGCCTAGATTTGTTATCCATTGATGATTCTTGACTGAACCAACCTTTAATGTTTACAAAATGCTGGTTTTTCTAGTTCACCAATTCCTCCAAATCATCAGTTGGTACTTTGCTGTAAGGAATAGCCATTCTTCCAAGGTAGGCGGATCACTTGAGACCAGGAGTTTGAGACCAGCCTGACCAACATGGAGAAACCCTGTCTCTACTAAAAGTACAAAAAAAAATAGCTGGGTGTTGTGGTGCATACCTGTAATCCCAGCTACTCTGGAGGCTGAGGCAGGAGAATCCTTTGAACTCAGAAGGTGGAGGTTGCAGTAAGCCAAGGTCGTGCCACTGCACTCCAGCCTGGGTGACAAAGTAAGACTCTGTCTCAAACAAACAGACAAACAACAACAACAACAAAAAGGAATAGCTATTCCTTTCTTACTCTCTTTATGTATATATATTTATAAATATTTAGACCTAAATAGATATATAATAATTTTATGTCAATGTGATTATATTCAGAAAAAACCTTTAAAAATAATAATATGTTATTTGATTATTAGCAGTGTGGAATCATGGAGTCCTATTTTTGTAGTTCACCACTCTTCTTACTTATTTACTTATTTATTTTTTTTTTTGGAGACAGTGTCTCATTCTGTGACTCAAGCTGGAGTGTAGAGGTGTGATCATGGCTCACTGTAGCCTCCAACTCTTGGGTTCAAGTTATCCTCTTGCCTCAGCCTCTTGAGTAGCTGGGACTATATAGACATATTGCCACACTCAGCTTATTTTTAACATCTTATAGAGATGGGGTCTCCCTGTGTTGCCCAGGTGGTCTTGAACTCCTGGCCTCTAGTCCTTAATTATTCTGATGCTTAAATTGTCCCAGATTTGGCAAGTTAAAGCCCTTTAATTGGTCGCTGTGACATTTTAACATGCCTTCATTGTTTTTTTAGTAATGCTTTACTTTTTGATACAAAACTATGTCCTATGTTCATCTTGTACTTTCTCTGACTCAGCCATGGAATCATTTCTCCAAGGAGACTAGGTTCTTATTAGTAGGGAATGATGTTTAGAAACCAAGCTATAGGCATTCGATGTATCCTTTGCTACTGGGGTCACCTTGTTTCCCTGCCATCTGAGTGACAGAGCTAATACACACAGGAGTTCATACTGAGACCTCCACTTCCAGTCCAGCTCCACGGGATTTTTCCCTGCCTTCACCTTTCCATACTTGTATTCTCCTTCTTTCAAAGCGAGAAATTTGGCTCCCCCTATTATACATACAGGTAAAAAACATTCACCTGTTTGTATAATTCTGTAATATGTACCCATGCTACTACAAAAAACAAACCTACCAAGTATTAGTCTGCTCAAACTGCCAGAACAAAATACTACAGATTGGGTAGCTTAAACCACACATATTTATTTTCTCGCAACTTGGGAGGCTGAACGTCCACGATCAAGGTCCTGGTGACAGTTGGTTTCTGGTGAGGCCCCTCTTCCTGGCTTTCAGATAGCCGCCTTCTCACATGGCCTTTACTCATTTTGTATGCACAGAGAAAGTGAGCTCTGATGTCCCTTCCTCTTTTTATAAGGATGCCAGTTTTTCAGATTAGAGCCCCCACTCTCATGACCTCTTGTAACCTTAATTACCTCCTTCAAGATGCTGTCTCCAATCACAGTCATATTAGGGTTAGGACTAATTTGACCAAGGTTGGTGGGGGGGGGGTACTCAATTCAATCTATAAGACTGAAATAATTTTATTTTTTGAATATATAGAACATTACTACCTAAAAGTTAAAATTATTCAAAGAGTCATACTCAAGAGAGTGTCAATCCCTCCACAGTCTTTCTCCCCTTCCCCTCCCCCACCCCTACCACTCATGGATAACCACCTTTAATGCTTTCTGGTTTGTCTTTCCTGTATCTTTGTGTTTTTTTTTTCACAAAACAAATAGTTTATGTGTTTTCTTATTTTTCCTTTCTTACATGAAAGGCAGCACACTGTGCATTTTTTTTTTGCTTTCTTTTTTTTCTCTCAATAATATGTTCTAAAAATTACTCTATTAGTTCATAGAATCCTGTCTCATTATTTTCCAGCTGTATGCTCTATACATACACACAAAATTGTGTGTGTGCACACAATGGTACACAATTGTGTGTATACCATATTTTAGTCCATGTCTTATGTTTAGGTAGTTTTCAGTATTTTGCAGTGACATATAGTGCTGTAATTTGCATCTGTGCATTTTTATAATCTTGGTATTAATTAGAGTCAATTCCTAGAAGTGGGACTGTTGGGGCAAAGGGTTTATTGGAATTTTTAATGCATATTCTAATGATTTACATCTGTTTCTTTACTTTGAATTATAATGGGGTGAGAGCATGATTTTTTTAGTTTAAAAATCTCTAAATTTCTCAATCCACTATTGTGTGTATGCAGAGAGGTTTATCTTACCAAAATGATCAAATCTGTTACAAGAGAGAATGTAGTAAACACCATAAAGGATTAGGACATAGCGTTCAGGGTGTTTGAAAGAGGGAGAAGTCCCAGCTACTGAGTTGGGGAACAGTCTGGAAACAAAGGAGCCATTTAAGCTTGACCTTAGAGAATGGGTAGAATGTGGAACTACGGAGAAGAGAAGGGCCTGTAGTTTAGACAAAGGTAATAATGATGGTTGAGGGACTGCTGGGATGCATGGAAGGAGGGTGGGGCGACCAAGTTTACATGAGAGTGTGACCTGGATGTTTAGGGTGGAATTGTAACCCGCTTCTTCTACCTCAATCCAGTGTGGCTCAAAATGATCAGAATAAAGAATTCAGAAATCTTGAGAGGCTTTTTGAGTTACGGCCTCTATGCTCGCCTTTGAGATTCAGTGCTCTGCCTGTGGTTGTCCCGGGACAAACATTAGTGCCAGGGAGATCTAGTGGAAACTAGGAAGCCAGACGCCTGTTGTCCAACACTGGCCTTACTACCAATCCACTCTGACCTGGTTGATGGTCATGTGAAGGCAGGAATTATGGCTGGAATATGTTGCTTCTTTATCTGTGACTACTGCAGTGCCTATCTTGCACACAGGGGCCCTGCCTCCAGCTCCCTTTGTGGCATCAGGCAAGTCACTTTCTCTCCCTGACCTGGGTTTCCTGGTCTGTGCAGTAAAGGAGCTGCCATAGATGGTCTCTAAGCCCCTAATTGCACCTTCTCGGATTCTGGGAAAATAGGAGAGATACCTGCACTGTACAAATGGGCATTAATTTTTTCATCCATGTTCTCAGAGTGCCAAGGGGACTCCACTCTTTACGCTTCTCAAAGACCCTTACATCCTGGTGGCTGCAGGTAAGTTGGCGATGACCTCCTATTGAGCCATGGGTGTCTCGGCTTCAGGCAGCCATGGCTGCTCACAGAACGATCTCCGCAGGGTCCATATGCTTTGCCAACATGGGAGTTGCCATCCTGGAGCCCACACTGCCCATCTGGATGATGCAGACCATGTGCTCCCCCAAGTGGCAGCTGGGTAAGTGACCTCAGTCCCCCGCTTAGGGCCTGGCAGGAGGAGGTGAGCCGTGGGTGCTTTTCTCTCAGTGTCGCACAGGGACAACGTGCTTCCTTTGTAGAATGACTTCCCATGTCCACACCCGTGAATCAAGCCCAAGTAGGTGTGCGGTCCCTCAGAGAAGCAGTCTGAGAAAGGGGAGGGCGGGAGGGGATGCAAGGGGCTATGGAGAGGTCACATACCTGGTTGTGTAGTAGAATGATTAACAATTTCCAGTCCAAGGATTCAGGTTTTCATTTCAGCTCCTTTGATTGTCTGTAAAAACTTGTACAAATGCCTTAAACTGTCTAAGCCTTGATTTTCTGAGTGCTAAAATAAGCATCAAAATAGTATCTAGTTCAAGGGAAATTGGTTGAATAAATGACATATGAGGTGGAAATGCTTTGTACTGTATACAACATTAATGTGCATGTTCTTCTCCCTTCAACTCCTCATCCTCAAGACTACCCTTTGGCTATCTTTCTTTCTTTGACTTCTGAAAGCATGTTTATGTAGCATTCACTTAGGAAAAGCTATGGGCCCAGGAGAGAGAGGTTCTAGCTTCCTCTGTTGATGTAAAGACAGAGAGGAGCTTGGGGAGGAGGCTCTAGCCCTTCCCAGGAACCCTGAGGAAAGAGGACAGGGAAGGCTACGTGCAAATTGCTCCATCACTGCAGGGAGGAGAGGCTTACAGGGCCAGAAGGGAAGCTGATAAGAACCTGATATAGTTCAACATGAAATAAAAAGCACTAAATCTAATTTGGGGGTGGGGGGGGGGACAATTCTAAGCAAGACTCCCAGCTGCACTCCCAGTGCCAAATTGAATTTTTATGGGTTGCAAGTGCTTCTGACCATGACGGTTAATTGAGTTAGTTGCTGCTCAGTGCAGATGACGCATCCTCTGCCCCAAGGCTCTGGCCACTAAGGCTCTCGACTGGTGAGCTGCTACAACACAGAGTATCCCCAGCAGCCTACGCACCAGCCTCAGTTGCCAGTTACCAATTACTCCATTACAGTCACTCAGTTACCACCATCTTTTACAGCTTTCCTCAGTGTTATCTGGTCTGTGAAGTCGGACATCAAAAGTTGTCAAATAGTTACATCAGAATCACCTGGAGAGTTTGTTAAAACTTTGGTTGCTCGGAGCCAGTGAGCAGTTCAGTCAAAATAAGTTTTCATTCCTAGTAAGTTTCCAGGTGATGCTGATACAGCTGGTCAGTGATTACACCTTGAAAATTGCTGCTGTACATGGGGAGCACCCCTCAAGATTGTTGAGGGGGACACAGGAGTCCATGCTTTGGAAAGTCATGTATATTCTGCCACTGAGTGCTTGCTATGTGGCCCACCATATGCTAGGTAGCATCATCAAGGGGAGGAAATAGCCCGAGTCCACCTGGGTTTGAATCCTGACCAGGTCACTTACTGATTGTGACCTTGGATAAGTTATTTAGCCTCTTTAACCTCTGATATGGTCTGAATGTGTCCTCCAAAATTTATATGTTGGAAATTGAATCCTTAATGCAAGTCTTGAGAGGTGGGGCCTTTGAGAGATGATGATATCATGGGTATACCCTCATGAATGGATTCAGGCCATTATCATGGGAGTGAGTTTGCTATAATAAAAAGAGGGTTCAGCCCCCTTTACCTCTCTCTCATGTGTGCTCTCTCCATATGATGCCCTTTGGCCATGTTATGATCTAGCAACCAGGCCCTCCCCAGATGAACAAACAGATGCTGCAGGCTTGCCCTTGAACTTCCTAGCCTCCAGAACCCTGAGCCAAATAAATCTCTTCTTTTTATAAATCACCCACTCTGGTATTTTGTTATATTATAGCAGCTGAAAATGGACTAAGATGGAAAATGGGTACTGAGAAACAGGGCTGCTGCTATAACAAATAATTGAAAATATGGAAGTAGCTTTGGAACAGGGACATTGGTAGAGGCTGGAATGATTTGGAGGAGCAGGCTAGAAAGAGCATGTATTGCTGTGGGCAAGGCATTAAGGGCGATCTAGTGAGGGCTCAAAAGAGGAGAGCTGCAGGGAAAGTCTGAATCTTCTTAGACTTTGGTTAAGTGGTTATGACCAGAATGTTGATAGAAATGTGGACAGTAAATGTCATTCTGATGAGGTCTCAGATAGAAATGAGGAACAAAGTGTTGGAAACTAGAGTAAAGGCCATCCTTGTTATACAGTTATAAAAAATGTGGTAGACTTGTGTCCATGTCCTAGGACTTTATGGAATGAAGAAGGTAGAGGCAATACAATAGGATATCAGGCAGAAGAAATATATAGGCAGCAAAGCTTCAGGCTGCTGTGTGGCTGTTTAAACTGCATATATAGTGCCATGTGAGAGCAAAGAAATGACTTAAAGGTGAAATTTATGATTAAAAGAGAAGCAAAACAGAAAGACTTGGAAAATTTGCTGCCTGGCCTTGGAAAGAAGGAAAAGGTGTCTTTAGGAGAGCACACCAAAAGTGTAGCCAGGCCACCTAAAGCAATTAGTGTAGGTGAAAGGGAGCCAGGTACCATCTATCAAGGCTGTGGGAGAAAGACCCCAAAAGCATTTTAGAGATCTTTGGAGCTGTTCCTCCCATTGCTGGCCCAGAGATCTAGGAGAGCAGAATGGTTTGGGAATAAGCCTGGGGCACTCCATGGGCTCACTGTGCAGGACCACCTTGGGGTTATGCTCACTGCATTTCAGTGCAGGTGCCCCTTAACTGTGCCAGCCATGGCTCAAGTGGGCCCAGGTGTGGCCTGGCCTCCCACTCACTCTGGAGGGTGCAAGTGGTAAGCCTTTGTGGTGTCTATGTGGTGCAAATATTGCAGGTGCACAGAATACAAGAACTATGGGTGCATGACTTCTTCCACCTAAATTTCAAAAGATGTCACGGACAGCCATTTCAAAGATCACCAAACTGTAGGGGCACCAGCATGGTGGCCTGCAAGCACAAGATTCCAACCCATGAGAGCTGCTGGATAGACTGAGCCCAGAAAAACCATAGGGGTGGGCTACCTGACACCTTGTGGGGGTCCAACCTCCACTCCAGTGTACCCAGGATTTTGAACATGGAGTCAAAGGCAATTATTCTCCAACTTTAAGACTCAATATCGTTCTCCATTTTGGGTTTTGGGCTTTCTTGTGACTTGTTACCCCCTTCTTCTTCCCTGTAACTTGCTTTTGAAATAGGAATGTCTATTCTAACCTTGTCCCACCATTGTTTTTGAAAGTACATGCAGTTATCCCCACAGAAGATTGGTTCTAGGACTCCTCATGGATATCAAATTCCAAGTATGTTCAAGTCCCTTACATAAAATAGCATCATATTTGCATATAATTTGCATATCTATCTTCAGTAGATTATATGGATTATAGTACATCCTCATATGTACTATATCTCTAGATGACTTGTAACACCTAATGCAATGTGAATGCTATGTAAATAGTTGTTATACTATATTGGTTTCTTATTTGTATTATTTTTATTGTTGTATTGTTATTTTTAATATTTTCCCTCAAATATTTTTGATCTGCTGTTGGTTGAATCTAAGGATGTGAAACCTGCAAATACAAAATGCCAACTGTAATTCATTTTGGTTTCACAGGCTCACAGCTGGAGGGAATTTGTATCTTGAATCTTACCCATATCTAATTTAGACAAGAATCTGGACTTTGGACTTTTGAGTTTATACTGGAACCAGTTAAGACTTCTGAAACTATTGGGATGGAATGAATGTATTTTGCATTGTGAGAAGGACATGAGTTTTGGAGGCCAGGGGTGGAATGCTATTTCTCCCAAAATCTGTGTGTTGGAAACTTAGTCCTGAATGCAACAGTGTTGAGAAGTGGAACATTTAATAGGTGATAAAGTCATAGGGACACCACCTTTATGAATAGATTAAAGCAATTATCTTAGGAGTGGATAGTTACAAAAGGTGGGAGTTTGGCCCCCCTTTCCTTTCTCTCTTGAATGCCCTTTCTCCATGTGGTACCCTTAGGCTATATTATGACCCAACAAGAAGTCCCTCACCACATGGCCAGGCACATGCTGGTGTCATGCCCTTGCACTTCCCAGCTTCCAGCATCATGATTCAAATATATCTTTTCTCTTTATAAATTACCCAATCTGTGATATTCTGTTACAGAAGCAAAAAGAAAAAAGTCTAAGACAAACTCCAGTTTTTTTTAATTTGTAAAAATGTAGCTATTTTTCAGGGTTGTTTTGATATGGTATTTTAAATGGATTAGCACAGTGCATGGAATATAGGATATACTCAGTAAATAAATTGTTTTTATAGTTTTAATAATTATTTTTGTTTAAATCATTTCGATAGTCATAAAATGTGTAATCCCTTATCCCTTAAAGATTTACTGTGAAAAACAGATGTGTATCTATAGGCACATATCCTATTTTTGCATAAAATACTGCTAAAATGTAAGATACAGTCAGATCCTAAAGAACAAGCAACATGGATTGAGAAAAATCCAATTCAGGAAATTTTGCGCTGTTTAAAATGACTGTCAAGGAGATCTAGGGGGCTCTCGCATGTCCTAGAGGTGCTTACTTCCACATATTAGATAAACAATTGAGTAGTTTTAATTTTTTTTTTTACCAATTAAATATAAACAAATGAGTACAGTTTGCAATGGATTGCCACCTGTCCAGATACCCTAGACAAATACACTAAGGTGTGCTTACTTCCCCTCCATAGAAGAGAATATTAAAAACAAACAAGCTGTCAGCCAATAACTGTTCAAGTGTTGACTTTTGATTTAATTATAGTTGCCATGGTATTTTTTGTTAGGCTGTATTGTTTTTTTCTGGACTTTGGACTTTTGAGTTTATACTGGAACCGAGTTAAGACTTCTGAAACTATTGGGATAGAATGAATGTATTTTGCATTGTGAGAAGGACGTGAATTTTGGAGGCCAGGGGTGGAATGCTGTTTTCCCCCAAATCTGTGTATAGAGAGGGATTAAAAGGGCTGGTCAAATCCAGAGAAACTCACTCTGCTAATCTCAAGCAGTCCCTTATACCAGAGCCATCTGTGCAACCCCACTGAGGAGGTAGGGTAGTGGAAACACCTGGAGTTAGAGTGAGACGGACTGGACTCAAGTACTGACTCTGTCACTCACCAGTTATGATGATAATAAACAAGACCAGTACTTGTAGGGCACTTAATCTGTGACAGGCACTATGCAAAATGCTTGATATGTACTATTTCAGTTTAAACCTCTCAACTGGCCTGCCTAGTCTGATAGAAATTATGATTATCTCCGTATTTCAGAGATTTCTTGATCTGACTCAATTTCCCAATGCTCTTTCAAATCCTGGGCCTCTCATCAGCAAGCATCCTATGCCCTCATCCTTGTCTCTGAGCAGTGTCTTTCATCTTCTCGCCCTACGGAGACCCTGATGTTTTCTGTGAACGTTGTTTTTCTGCAGCATCTAGATGGAAGTTCATGTTCTACACCTTGCTCTCTTTGCTTCTTCTGAGTCATTTCTTCTCTGTTCTCCTTCAAAGACCTCAACTCCTTTGAAGATCATGTTGTTAGATGACACCAGCCCACGCTTCTTCTTTGCAGTCATCTAGTGACCCCTTAGTTGCCCCTCCTCATTCATTAAAGCTGTTGACATCTGGCGCATGTTCTTTTCACCTCTACTCCTGTCACCATTTTTGGTGACTTCAATATCCAGGTGGTTAACTGGATCTTGGCCTCCTAATTCCTTAATCTATTCTTTTGCAATGATCCTTTTTTTCCTTTCTGCCTTAACCAATTTAATCCTATCTATGTCCCCACCTCATGTATTAGTTCATTTTGCATTGCTATAAAGGAATATCGGAGGCTGGGCAATTTATTTTAAAAAAGAGGTTTACTTGGCTTATGGTTCTCCAGGCTGTACAAGAAGCCTTGCACCAGCATCTACCTCTTGTAAGGGCTCACAAGGCTCACAACCTTCGAGGAAGGCAAGGGAAGCCTGCATATCACATGGCAAGAGAAAGAGCAAGAGAAATGGGGGGAGGTGCCACAATCTTTTAAACAGCCAGCTCTTGCGTGAACTTACAGAGCAAGAAGTCACTCATTATCATGAGGATGGGGACAGCATCATGCCATTCATGAGGGATTCATCTCCATGACCCGAACATCTCCCACTCACCCCCACATTTAACATTGGAGATCAAGTTTTAACATGAGATTTCGAGGGGACAAATATTCAAGCAATATCACCTTGACATCAGTATTAATTATATATCCTCTGAAATCTCAATTCCAAACAATCCACTTATCATCTTACATATTCCCTAGCTCAGATGTTCTAATGGTCTCTATCAACATTTTTTGACCAATCTTGGATCATCAGTTCATTGGCCTCAGTAATTTTTCTTCCATTACTACTCATGTCGTCACTTATTTCTTTACTCAATGTGGATTCAATGGCGCATGGTTAATGTCACTCCTCTGAAACTCCTCTCTCCCTTTGGGCTTCTCACTTGGCAAAGACTTAACTATAGCTAAGCTATCTTGTTGCCTACTCCTTGTCTATAAATGAGCCATGGCATGGGGCTGCCAAAAAACGCACAACCAGTCTGTTTGGTCTCACTTTATATTTATGGCCACACATCTAAAGTGGGTTTCACACTGTCCAACAATCTTTCTATAAGTCCCTAGTTATGTTCTTCTTCTTTTCC